GCACCTTTCTTGCATATTAATTTGACAAACTTCTCTTCACTCATAAAAACCCAGTTTAGAGGTCACCTCCACCATGAAGTCATCTATGATTGCTTCTGTCTCCTTCGTTTGAACTTAATTCCTTTACATTCTTTATGAACTTACTTATATTGGTCTATTTACCATGATACATTACATTTTATTTGTTTGTATTTTCTTTCCCCGCACACAACTGAGAATTTCTTGAGGATAATGATTATCTTTAATTCATCTCTATATCCTGGAGCCTAGTGTAGTGCCTGGCATATTGTAGACAATCAAAAAATATTAATATTTATTAAATGCAAGCCATTGCTGAAAATAAGCAGCAAAGTATTGGTAATTATTGGAGCTAGTTGATGGATCCATGGCAGTTCATTATATCATTTTCTATATTTGTAAAATTTCCAAAATAAAAAGTTCAAAATAATTAAAGACCTCTCAAGATGTCAGATAAATCTAGCAAAATTTTTAAGTTCCTATCACAAATGGAGCTACTATATCTATAGCTACGACCTCTGCGTTCCCCACATTTATTTCTTTTCTCATAAGAAAGATATTTAAAACCAAACGATGTTACTCTGCAATAAAATACGATTATATTGTTTCAGAACAGCTTCAAGCCATGGATATCATATTAAATGAGAATTTCTGGCAAAGCTGGAAACTGGCAGTTCATGCTAAGTATTTTATTGAGGAAGGAATTCTATGGATTTTTGTCCTCATCTGAATTGCTATAGAAGTATAACTAGTGTCTCTGTTTCTACTCACTTACCTCTGAACTCATCTTCACCTACTCCTAGGTTGATCTACCTAAAACATGGATCTGTCCCATCTGTTCCCCCAAAGTTGAAGACTTTGAGTCAATAGCTTTTCAATGGTCAGGGAATAAGTGTGCACTCCCAGTATCGAAGCCCAAGTAACCTGTCCAGCCAAATCTTTCATTTTAATGTTCTGAGACCCACGTGCTACAAGCCATACCGGATTCACGGCCCATATCCATGCAAGCCACTCACTGTCAGTGATTAGGGTCACGGCTAAAACTCTTTGCTCAGCCTGGAATCCTCTCCTCAATTCTCCAATTTAGGAAATGCTTCTCACACTCCAAGATACTATACAATTGTTGTTTTCTCCACAAAATCTTCCTTGGACCCCTTTCTAGAATATATCACTCCACCTATGCCTCCACAGGCCATTGCGTGGGTCTATGGGCAGCATTATTTCCTCTGTCTTGTTTGGTAATTATTCTCCTTACTAGAATGTAAGCTTACTGAGGGTACTTTCCTTTAATGTTCATCTTGCACCTTCCCATCATCTCAGTCAATACTCAACAGAAGACTCCGAATGCATTAGAATTCAATAAGATAATATTACATGCTAATATTATACACTATGAAATGATGAGATTAATCTTGTGAGCATTTTCATTATTATTTTTATTTTATTTTAATATTACATACTATGGAATGATGAGATTAATCTCCGGAGCGTTTTTTCTTGTTCCCCTTACTGATGACTGGATATGTGCAAAGCCTCAAATCATCCCACTAAAATCTCATTAGTCATTTTAATCCTTTGTACAAATTGCTTTTGCTCTTAAGTCATGAATTTCAATTAAAAGAGAATTTTTTAAAAAATAAGACTTTATCAAAATTGTAAATTAATTTAAATGGTAGAATTGTTTCTCTTAACCCCTTTCTATCCATGGCTAATGCTCACCAACATTAGAGATAATACCAGGATAACATCACTTTATCTCAAATAGGCTCTCTCATTCATGTAGACTCAGAAGTACTTTGTAAATTAATTGATGCACAAAATCACACTGGAGAAAATACTCCACGATGGGGCCATTGAAGTATTGAAGTATCATTTCCTTCTGAGGACAGCACATAAGCTCATTGTTGCCTAAAAGAAGCTTAAGCTTCTGTTCGGGGCTTATCATCTTTACTTCTCCACCAGAAAAAAAGAAAAAAGAAAAAAAGTCTAATTACCCAGCTTACTATGGGGTCATATTTTCCAGGTGGCTCAATCTCAGAGTAATTTTTAGTAATCTACATTGGGATAACCTTTGCTAGCCTTTATTATTTGTAGCTAGAAAGAAGGACGGCTCCAATGACCTAATTTTTTTGTGTGGTTTTCACTTTAGCTGTCTTTTCTCTTGATCCTCTACTTGGCTGGTGATCAAAAAGTCCCAAGTTCTGTTTCTGCTTACAAACCGTCATAGTCTGAGAAAACATAGGCAGGAGGCCTAGGCCAGAATTCTCAAGTCCTTATTGGGCTTCATTGTTGAACTTTGCTTGGACTGGACATTCATCGTGATTGAATATGAGTCACATATGGTCAAAATTCAGTGCAGACCTTAGAGAAAGGGACCATTTAGTTTGCTTTTGTCCTAATCCTGCCTCTAATTTATGATAAAGGTCAGTGGTCTGGCTTAGCTTGCTTATGTCTCATGCTTGGGTTGGAGTCAAAGCTTTGTGGAAATTATACGGCTATTGTGTGATCATATTTCCTATATATATATTTCCCTCAGATACTTCACATGGTATTAATAGCCAGTTCAGGACAAGATTCAAGAATTCAGAAAATTTCCCATGTGTGTTTTCATCTATTCCCTTTCCCAATATTAGGGAAGATTTGTAAAAGAAAAGTGTGTTGTAGTAGAAAAAGCACTGGATGGGATCGATTCGGTAATTTTTGGTTTTCGTTCTGCCTCTGCCCCCGGTTAGTTTCGCCTGTGACAGATCAGTTAACCTCTCTGGGTTGCAGTTGTCACTTGTGTCTAATGAGAGAGTTGTACTAGAACAGCACTTCCGAACATGTATTTCAGAAGGAAAAAGGACTACCTCATTAAGTAAATACCTCATGTATGGTGGTAACCTGCATCCTTGTGTTTGACATGATCAAAGCTTCTACATTGAATCAAAAGTTTCCTCAGCTTCCTGGATATTTCACATAGTATGTATAAGCATGTGGGCACATCTACATATGTGTGTGTATGGAAACATAGATTCATATATGGCTAGGGATATCATTTGGTTATCCATCCCAAGGAAGACATTTCAGATCGGCTCAAAATTCTGTAATTCTAGTTGGAGGGAGTCAGGTTTACAATTCTACTTTTCATATTATTGGAACTCAAATTTGAAATTTGAACCTGAAAACCTTCAACTTTACGTGGAATAAAACAGAACTTGAAGAATAAAAACTGAGTCATTGCCAGGGGTCTTAAACTTGAGACTTTTGACTCTGAATTTCTACGTCATCAAAATTGGCAATAAAAGAACTGTGCACTGTCCTCATAGTGCTGTGAAAGTTGACTTCCTCAAATGCTCTGTAGTGGTTCTCCTTCAGAACCCCGCTCTGCAACCAAACTACCTTGAGTATAGTGTGTTAGAGTTGGGAGTTATGGCTCAGCCAAGTCCACAGAACAAAAACCGATATGGTGATGAAATAAAACAGAAGCAAATCATTCCAATCATAGAAATTGAAGTTATCTTATTTGTATTTCATTAAGACACCAACATTAGTTCATTGAGGCAGAAATCTCAGGAGAATGCTAGATTGTTGTGTAACATTGGAGAAGCTTGCTTATGCATTGTTTTACTTCAGGGGTTAAATAAAATTATTCTGTAGTATGAGAAAATGGAGGAAAACCTAATTTCTGAAGTTTTAATGTCATTGCAGTATTATTTTTATTGTGCCCAAGCAGAGCTTGTCATAGATTGAGAATACATTAATGAAGATATGGAAATTATATGAGAATTTCTTATGTTATGTTGGAAACAGTTACAACCTAACAAACCTTTTTTGTAGAAGAAAAGAACTTTCTGAAAATAAGATATATTGACCATTATATTAACGTATTAACAGAAACAACCTGTATACTAGATGTAGTTTGGGATGATGTCATCTTAGCTAACAGGTCTTAGCTCTTGTAGTTAGAAAGATTATGCAAAGCGTAGGCAAGTTTAAATATTTCCATCTCCCCGGATTACACAAAGCTTGGGAAGTAAATACAACTCAGCAATAAAAGATCATATTCTTATCTGGAAGAAATATTAGCAAGTATCTTAGGGACTTTGTTCTTTCACTTGTGAAGAAAGGAAAACTTGGATGTAGAATTGACATCAAACGATTCAGATTTAAATGATTCAAAGTATGTTATTTGGTAAAAACATTATTTCATGAAAGTGTGTATGTTTGCATGTGTGTGTCACATACATATATATTTTCAAATAGTTATAGCAAAGTTCATCAACTTTTTTTTAACTCTCCAATCTCTGAATAACAAAATTCATTTTGGACAGCAAAAGTAAAATTTATATTAGATGGATATATTATTTATTTGTAGCAACAGTGCTGTGGTTATATATGGGTTCCCCCTCATGAGACAGATGAGCAAAGAGGCTCTTTGGGGAATGTAAATGAAACACTTTTGCAAATTAAGTGTTCAAAATACCTATTTTGCTGAGCACTCACTAACTCAATTTTATACCAAAAGCTTACCCATTTTATATCATAATCAACAACCCGGCTCCACCCCTATACCTCCTAACTAATGAGGCACACACAGATATATTCCTCACAAATCGAAATACTTTTCCAGAGGATGGAATTACTAATGACATTAGAGCCTGGCAGCCACTATGAACTTGACAACCCAAAACCAAACTGTATTATCACCCCATAGGAGAGAATCCTAACTCCCCACCTTGGAAACATATTTAACCCACGAAAACACCATAAACCCAAATAGGTTTCAAACAGAAAGAAAATGATACAATATCCCTTCCCTTCCAGTGTCAAATATCTAGGTAAACCGAAATGAACTGTCCAGTCGCTCAGTTGCTCTATGTCAAGCATGCATATTTTAAAACTTTCACTTTGGGTATTAAGCCTTCTCAACTTTTGCAGCATCTGTATCCAGTTCTGAACCAGACCTGACCAACAGCACAGACTGGGAGCGACCACTTTACCTTCCGAAAAATCAATCAGTCCCAGCAAATGAAGCAGCTTCAGAGATGCACATATAATCACAACAATACCCACTGTTTGCAGTCCTTCCGACTCCCACTCCAGAGTCAACATCCTCCAAGCTGGCAGAGCATCCCAGCCTCCGGACCCCTTTGGAGCGGAGGGAGCTAATTGAGAATCGGAGCAGCCTCCGGCTTGGAACAAAGACTTGCAAGGGGGGAAAGTGAGCAGCTCCCGGCAGATGCACCCTGCAAAGCAGGCAGCCCCCCGGGGTGAGGAAAGACCTGGGCTAAAGTCCAGCCTCTCATGCTGATCCTGGCATTTGCTTGGCAGGGCTCCCCCCAACCACAGCGCACCGACCTCTTGACTCTGCGCTGCAGCCAGCGGGCTAGTATTTCGACTTCAGAGCTGAGAGGGACACATCTGTGGGAGAACTGGAGACTTTGCAATGTCCATGGAGAGCAGGGACACTCCCAGGAAACTTGCCCTGGAGAGCACGGTGGCGCTCCTCGCGCTGAGGACGCGAGGCTGAGAGGCAGGTCTGTCTGCGCGCTAGTTTGCTGCCTGGGAAGCTTGCGAATGCCCCCTTTTTGCCTTAGCAGCTGCTCTCTCCTCCCAGAGCCTCCTCCGGGAGAAATTTCAGCCCCCTCTCTGGATGCCAGGAAAGCAAATCAGTTCTGGTGGCGGGTGCTTACAGCCCCTTCAAAAAGCCCTCGTGGAAGATCATGGGCAGCTTTTCTAGGGAAAAAGGGCCAGAGTGAAAGATCAACGATTAAGTGACTTTGTCAAGCTGCCCCCTGCCACTGCACTTGCTGTTCTGGTCTGCTGACAGGTGGGGGACGTTACTAGGGGGATTGATTTAGTCCTTGAATTTACAAACACAGATGGAGGGCGGGGCAGAGCAGCACCTTGTGAGAACTTGGATGTTGTGTAACTGCCCCCTGGAGGGTGGGTACCACTACTGCCTTTAAAGTCCAGCCTCAGCCTCTCTCAAAGCAACGTTTCACAAACTTCCCTGATAATAAAAACGACCTGGGGTGCTTGTAAAAAACACTCTGTTGTGGAGAGTGCATTCAAAGGAGCCTGGAGTCTGTGCTGTTAAAGGAGAAGTGCAGGTGACTCTTATCTACTGGGAGGTGTGGGGTGGTGCTGTCCTCAGGCCACTCCGCGTGGCAGGGCAGCCTTGTGGGCATGGTCACAGACTCTGGGCTATGCCGGGACCACAGTGGCTTAATCACCCTGCTGGTGATCTCTACTCTGCCGAAGCCGAACCTGACAACGGAGATGTAGAGACTCCACTGGGATTCTGTGTGTCAAAGAGTTTTTAGCACGTGGAACTCACTGTGAAACATAAGGGCTTATGAGTAACATCTCAGATGCCTGGGGCACATTCAGGTCTGCTTCTTATTCGTTTTGTGATCTTCTGCAAGACATTTAACCACTATGAAAACAGTTCCTTTCCTGTGAAGTCGAGATTATAATATTTCATCTAAAGTTCTCCATTTAAAGGAAATTGTGGGGATTAAATGTGGTCAAAATAATAGTCAACATTTACTAAGCATTTACTATGTGCTCATCAATATTATAGTGATTTATCAACAATGACCCATCCCCACAGCTCTGTGTGGTAGATATTATAAGCATCTTCATTTTATAGACAAGGAAACGAAAACATAAAGAGGTTAATTTACTTGCCAAGCTGTGGTCATAATGCCTGGAAGGCAATAGGCATTCATTCATTCATTTGTTCGTGAACATTAATGAAGCTGCTGCTATGAGCTATGAATGGTACATGGATGATAAAATGCTGAAAAATGCCCAACCCTACCCTTTGGGGGGCTCACAGTTTAATAAGGGAGGCAGGCATGAAGTGGAATGTGACCAATAAGTAAATGCACTGGCACTTAAGCAGATGTCTCTGCAAGGTACAGTGGGTACACTGGGAGGGAAAATCAGCTCCACTTGGTGAAGGTTTGGTGGTGGTGACAGGAAGGAGACTTACAGGGAGGGTGACCATCAATAATGGTAGCCTGTATCATGGAAGTAGCATGCCATAATTAAGCTCTGGGGTAGGTAGACCTGGGTTAAATCCTGGTCTGTCTCTTGCTTGCTGTGTGATCTTGGGGAAACTGCTCCATCTCTGAGTCTCAGCTTTCTCAGTTTAAAATAGGAATGCTACTGCCTCCTTTTTATGGCTGATATAAGAATTTACTGAGCCTGTGGGGAGTTTAGCCCAGTCCCTGATGTCCCTGCTTAGTACATGGTAGCTGTGGGATTATGTTGGAAGTATCAACTCTTTAGAGGCTCTGCAGAGTCTCCTTGGAGGAAGTGACTTTGCTCTTCCCTGGTTGTCTCTCCTGCTCCAAGGTCTAATTCCAATCTTCTTCCCATGAAGACTTGCTGAACAGCCCAGCCCACAAGGCTGTTTTTCTCCTCCGGGAACCAGAAATACACTTGGGCCACCAAGCACCTGATAATGGTGCTTTTTGTTTTGGATAATATATTTATGAGATATATCTTTGTATTTATGCACCCAACCACCCATCCATCCATCCAAACGTTTTGTTTTCAGTTATATCAGAAAGCTTGTGGAGGTGAAGTAGATTTTAGCAGTTGATGGGAAAAGAAATGTTTTAAGTAACCATTCTCTGAAATTCCCACCAAGATTTAGCTATGCAAAGTCCAAAGTTTAAAAAAAATTACAGAAATTAATTCGGTTGAGTCAAATGTAAACTTGCCTTTCAATCTTACATAATACCATATTGTAGTTGGAAACAAAGTACAGAGAGGGGTCAGAGAGTTGGAAAACACTACCCGAAGGACGGACATATTTGAAACAGGGACTTCAGTTGGGGGGGGAACCAAGGGCAACACACCTAACCTAATCATCTGTACCACGGGAAGGGCGGCGGGAGGAGGGGACGGGTATTTGTATACACAAGGAGTGCAATTTGTACTTAGCAGAACTTGGATTTAAATGTGGGTCT